TAACGGATAGGGGATGAGCTGGTTCAGCTTTAATCGCCATCCCTGAAGAACTGAGAGACATTTTTTTTATTATTTTTTTTTTCGAACTCACATACCGACCAGGGATGAACTAAGGCAGCTATGACACTGGCAGCGTATTCGGTCCTTTTCTTTCAGCGCCCGCGATATTAAAAGCGTAACAAAAAAAAAAGTGCAAGTTCCAAACTTACAAGTAAAAGAAAACAAACTGGTAATAGCACGACAAGTCGGGACACCTCGCTGGTTCCTTTTCCTTGCCATAGCCCAGTTCTACACAAATTGCTGTACTTCTATCCAGTAAAGAGGAAACAATAAATCTAGGAAACTAAACACCATTCCACCCGAAGGTCCTGATTATTTTTCTAAATTTTCTTGCAACGAATCCTGGATTGACTGAGTCATACCCCGCCTAAGGAAACTCGTGACAATACATCATAATATAAGCAAGTATTTTAAACGAAAATAACAAATAAAGAATCTAAAATAATCCTATAAACCAAAGAACATTTAATTTCTAAGTGGTGTCACTACAGTTTCAAACAATTTGTAACGCTATAATGAAAAAAAAACCCAGCAGTTGTCTATGTTAAATTACATGCCAATATCTGAAACGCCCCCTGTTATTATGAGCACAGTAGCACATTTTTCGATTCCGCTCTATCTATTGATTCGACTCAAAACAATGTCGGCCTCAGTCGCTTTCTTGCAGTTACGAAAGCGACCATTCAGACGAAACTACACCGTGTCCTCAATCGAACTACTGACTGGTAAGTCTCGAAGAATTGATGCATTGTGACAAGATACATCAAATGTGTTTGAGATACAGACGGTTTTGCAAACCCGATTGTGCTGGTCTTAGCTATGTTTTCGTGACAACAACAAGGCCTTTGTGAATAAGAAGGCTTTCTTGAAGTGGTGTTCATTGCACGTCAAAAGACCGCAAATAAATTCGTGGTCTTCAAAGCTCTTCTGTCAATTCGCTGCAAACGTTATAAAAAAAAACAATCCTTTTGATTGTCCGCTCGCTTTTGAAAACCGGGATTCCAATCTAAATATCAATTTTGATGAATTCACCGCAATTTCGATGAATGCATAGATAAATGGGGCATAGCAAGCCAAATTGCCAATTGTAAATGTTACTAAAGGATTAAAAAGCACTGTTTTAACATATCGCAATTCTAAATTCAGAAAAGTTTATGTTTAAAACATTTTTTAGCATATAATTCAAATCATTTATTGAAATATTCTATTACATAACATAGTATATTAACTGAACAAATATTGTGCACACGGTAGCCGATTATTTGACGAAAATTGACGGATGCTGACGCTATAGACAATATTGAACAGTTAATTAAAAATATGCAGACATATTTTTGCCTTTTACCCTAATAGATTTGCTCAACATACTTAAACCGTCACTAATATTAAGGGATCAAATTTTAACGATAAATTTTTAAATTTTGAATTTAGTCCTTCAAAAACTTTGAAAAACTTTATCTCGAGAATGCAAAAATCTAAAAGAAAAATAAAAATATATTTAATTCTCTCTTGCTTCGTATTAAGGAAAATCTATTGTTTATGTTGTTCCTTTAAATCCTTTTGATTGGCCGACTTTCCTGAATTATGTTGCTGTTGTTTGGAGTGTTGCTTTGCACGGTGATTACGTCTGGCTGCCGACGTATGATAAGGATGGGGATGTACGCTATAAGAAAAAATATTTAGTTTATTCAAAATGAATATTTATAATAGTGTTGCATTTAGAAAAATCAAGTTTTTATTATCTATTTAACAGAAACTTTACGAATACGGTGGGAAATAATCAACGAGCAGTTGACACCAGCAAAAAAATTGTATAATTGGATGAATAAGAGTATTTGTTTGGTCGAAACATTTGGAAAGCCCAGAAAGAAACTTCGCAGACCGTATAAGGTAGATGTATTTTTAACCACGTCAAATTCTGAATCGATTTAAACATGTCGGTCTTTGAAATGTCCTTCATACGCACTCGGCTGGCCGCAAAAATAAAGCTATTGGCTTCAAATTTGGCAGAAACATTGGAACTTTTTGCGCGCAGTTTGGAAAACGGGGCTGAATCGGTCGAACGACACGCCGGTAGCACCAAATAAACTGCAAACACCTGTTCTCCAAAGGGAAAATCGATTGATTATTTGCAAATTATCAACGAACTACAGCATACAGATTTATAAAAATTTAAATGTATGTTCCTTGGCTGATATTATAGTGCCTGTATAAAAATGTCTGTCTAGTATTATAGTGCATCAAAACCTCTATAACACCCAGAAGCAAGCTTCGAAAATATAACAAATTTCTGACCAGTATCAAATTCGGAATGCACATATGCATGTCCACTTATTCGTCTGACTACCTCTCCCCCTGCCCCAATGATGTTTTTATCTGGGGCACACATTCGCCCTTTCGCAGGAATGAAGGTATCGCCTTCAAATGTGCAAAAGCAATTGAAAAATGCGAAAAGACACTTCTGCAACGGAACGTACGTTGAGAACACCTTCGGTTGCATGTTTTTTTGCCCGTTATAGGTAATCTTGTTTCTATGCGGCAGGTAGGTACCGCAGGGGAAAGACAGCAAAAAAATGTTCAGGAACTTTGCGAATAGATGTAACAAATAATTTTTCACAGCATGTTAATTAAAGAAAATTTACTTAATTTTGAGACGGAACGGGAAAAAAATTTCCCTTAAAAACTATGTCAAAGCTTTATATTTATAAAAGCCAGGATCACAATAAAAAAAAAATATTCTTTATACGTTAAAATAGTTTAATGAGAGAAGGTAATTATACATAAGTAAATTTAATATAACGAAACTAATATTGGATTTAATTGATTAATAAAATTAAGTTATTCTCTCAGCTAATCCAGTAAGATTTAAAAAAACCTTAAAGTAATGAAACTCACCCAAGAAATCTGCCGACGAATGTGCATTCGTGACCTGGGTGTAAAACAACAAATTTAATAAAAATTACAGCATAATAATATAAAACCTGGATCTATGGCAGACACGAAAATTATTTCGTATCCAATTAACTCCTTTTTCAATTCATTTGCCAATACACATAATCGGTTAAGTGAATCTTACAGCAAGCTCCGCATGCACCACACTAATAAGATTCTCTTCTTCGAGGTCAATTCAGAGCTATTTAGTTTATTTGGCGGTGAATCATCAGGCAAATCCACCGTATATCATCAACATAGCGTGATACTATTCAGCATAATACTCCTTAATTTTAATCGATTAAAATCATTATATAATATTGAAAATAACTCCAAATCAATGACAAGCAAAATTTGATCAATCGATTTTTAAATATGCAATATAAAAAAAATTGGGGAATACTTTCTTATTGAATAAACGGTTAAAATAAAGAAAAAAACTCATCGAAGCGACATTTCGAAACATTTTGTAGTAAAATAATGAAAGCGAACCAAGTCGTTCTAAGTAAAGAATAATAAATAAAAAGAATAGACATCGGAAATAAAATACGTCAACAAAAAGGAACCAAATGATTAAATATAGATAGCTGACACCATTTTATATAAAAAAAATGAAGAGGGAAAAAGGAACCAGTTAAAAAAAATGAAAAGAAATCCTTCACAGTGGTCATTAGTTAAAAATTATTATTAATTATTTGTGTATTTAGTTGTTTAAATCATTTTTCTTTTTGAGTACTTCAATACTTATTAACAGCCCATCGATAGCGAATGCATTCGTTAACAGGTAAGACTAATTTTTTCTTTCTTTTTATTTCCTTCTCCTAACAATATAAAAACCTGCAATAATTAATAACTTTACGGAACAAAAATTTTAAAATTAATTGTTCATTAGTTAGCTTTATTTTTTCTTTTCTATTTTCTTGAATAAAAATAATTTATATATATTCTATATACTTATTTAAAAAAATGATATGTGTTGTAATTAATTACGGTATAACTCTCCCTTGATGTCCCTAGGCAGCGGATTGGGTGTAGACCATGTCATGCGTAGAGAAGGTGTAGAAGAATGTCAGTCAGCTTGAAGAGGTAATCTACTAATTATTCTTTATCTATTCGTCCGTTTTAATTAATGCATACCCTAAAATTATATCCGTAGTGTTAGTAAGAAAAGGACAATTAGAATTACTTAAACCACCCCAATCGCCGACGAGCTAGGCCATAACACAGAGTGTGCCCTAATTTATTTATTTTTATTTTTGGTCAACTAGGCTAAACTGAGTAGTAAAATATTATACGTAGCAAGAATTACCTATTTCTCTTCTTATCCAAGCTTCAACAAATCGGTCCAAGATTTGCATAATACCCTTTTACAAAACTGGATTGCTCGTAATTTCTTTGACAGACTGCTTGGACTTCCACGAAGTCCACCGGCGAAGATCATAAATTGTAACTCTTTTCTTTTCTTGCATATTCGTTTGTTTCAAAGTGTGGAGCATTCAAGTCGATGAATATTCCGTGATATATTTCCCCGACTTCGTTATTACTCATTTTCATCACTCAAAAACAATGTTTAGTTTTCCTTCACGATGGATGATTTTGAAATTAAAGGCTTGTAGTTTAAATGACTATCCAGCTAAATGCGAAGAAAGTTCAGTTTGAGACATCAACCATTCCAAGGGAACATAGTCCGTAATTATTGGAAATTCATAACCTTCAATGTGAGGTGTTTACGCCGAATACTGCAGTTGGACATTCTTCCTCAACCGTATAATTCCGTTTCTTTTTCTCAGTGAAGGGTTTGTGTAACTCATAATACGACAGCTTGCTGAAGATAGCTTTAATGTTAAAGAGTGTATAAGCATCTTTGATAATTATCAAATTCACTTTCCGACTAGCAAGCCATCGACGATTTTTACCTGGTCTCCGAAGCAGAACTACAGGCGAACTCTATGAACTGAATGATTCCTCCTTTAGTTTTCAGTCTAATGTGTCATACATCAATTTTACAATCGCCGGCGAAACCAATACTTTTTGTTTCTTTTCTTTTACTTCTGTGATATTAATCGAAAGAGACAAAGACTGCACGATTTCCAAAAATCAATTTCTGAATATGATTGTGAAAAAGACAAGGAATAACGAACAACTGGATGACGTTCTTGATACCTTTAAATTGAACACTGGTTTTAACAGACCCGAACACCTTTTGATGCTTCGCGTCATCAGTTCTTGCACTTGATAATATTTTCTTAAATGGACAGTTCAATAGTAAAATTGTCTCTGCTACTGCATTACCGGTACAACTAATACATGCTTCGATATCTAATCTTTGTCATCAAAAAATGTAACGCGTTCGTACGGCCGTATACTTCTTCTACTGCGATTTCAGCATATGCCCAGGGTTAGTCACAAAATTTCATGTCATTACCTCTTCTTTTTCTTTCATCTGGAACGAGTTACGGCTTACGAGAAATTTCGGGAAGTTGACTAATTGAGTTTATACATGTATTGATGAATCCAATAAATTTCTTCTGACTATCTTTACCAATACGTCATCAATTAACGGTTGGTTAGTGTACTTAATTGTTCTAATATTTTAAGTCCTAAAAGTTTATCTATTGGATAAATAATTGGAATTAATATAGCTAATGCTTTCAGTACGCCCAAAATCAGGATTGAATTTAGCTTGTGATAGTTTTGGATAAAGCCTCTATGTTGTGGTGGACAAATGTAATTTACTAAATTCTTCATCAGACACATGCATGCACATAGGGATTGGCAAAAATCCGATTGTAGAACTTGTTGAGATAACCCGTTCACTGATTTATTATGGATATTGGATTTATGTGTGAGTGTTGTATAGACTCTCTGCTTTTTCGCTAGCCTAGAAACTTTGATTGTTGTCTGGTTACTTACTAATTGTCCGGAACTTGGGTGGCGACGTCTGGAAAACCTACCGCCGGTCTTTAAGCGGAACGTATCCGTAGGACAGGATAGATGAAAGCAAATACGCCTGCCTTAGGACTTTGCACCAGCACAACAACGATCCAAACCGCTGTGCGCAGCACGTGTGCTGTACCTTTTTCGAAGTGCCAATTTTCTTTTAACAGAACATGATGGATCTAGAGAGGCAAACTCGATAAAACCCGTTATCCCGAGTGTCGTACGAAAGACGCAACTTTCGAACCAGCAAAGGAATTTGTCCGAGGACAACTGAAGTACCGGCAACATACTCATAGAGGACGAAGACGTCCTTCTCGGCTCTTAGCTTAATTCATGAGGAAGCACAGAAAGGGCCGAAGGAGGAAGTTAAACCTCCTGAGGAAACCTCTGTAGGAACTCTCGTACGGCTAAGGAAATAGAGCAAGAAAGCCGGCAGCCTGGAAAAGAGCCTAAGTGGAGCCTTCCGTCGTCGTCCCCAAGCTATGATTAAAAGTGGCATGAGCTTTGAAGAGGCATATCGGCGCGAAATAGCGATGTGCAGGCTCTGAAACGGTAAAGCTGCAGGTCAGCTACAAGCAGGATAGACAAGACGACTCTTCGTCCTCTACGCCCAGCTGGAACTGCAGTAGTACCGCGCCCCAAGCACTCGGAACTTTACCCTCTTACAAAGAAGGTGCAGAGTTGATTACGCTAGGAATTGTCTCAGTTGACTAGCTTAAGATGTCATTGAAGGGCGCCCAACTGGGGGCGATCTATGGATTATCATTCGAGTGAGTATCGCTATTCAGTGCAACTGCAAACAAGAATCTGATAGCCCATTAGTGCAGCAAAGTATTTAAATATTGTTGAAAAACATCAGTAAGTATTCAATCCGAAACATCACAGTTTAGTACAGTTGTATACCAGTTGTATATTCCGTTGACTTGGAGCGAACAACGAGCGCACATATATGCTTCATGGCTTAGCCAAGTTGTAAACTAAACTTACATTCCGATATCACAGCAATCAAGACGTTACAAATGGTAAGACATCTGCGGCATGGGAAATAAATTTCGAGGAGTATGCATGAGAAATACGAGCATTATGTGAAATGATAAGATGTACGTATATTGGGGATATTGCAGAATGTACAGATTCAATCAGAAAAATAATATTGTTAGCAATACCTCAAATGCATTGGACCCGCGTTGTTCGCCAATTAAAACAAGAAATTAGGCTGACTCGCCTAAAAAAAAAGGGGCGGGAGGGTACTCGATAATTACAGTTGACTATTTGTATGTGTATGTATGTGTATGAACGTGTATGTGAAGATTCATGTCCTTAGTCAGAATCAAAACAAAAAAAATGGTCTATATACACTGTAGTAGTTTAATAAGAGAAGGTAATTATTACATAGGTAAATTTAATATGACAAAAATAATGTTGGATTTAATTAATTAACAAAATTCTCAGCTAATCCTGTTAGATGTAAAAACAAACCTTAAATTAATGAAAGTCATCCCAAAAATCTGCGCAATCTACGAATGCGCATGCGTGACCTGGGTGGAAAACAACAAATTTAATAAATATTACAACCGGGTAATATATAAAATATGGATAATTTGCAGACACGCAAATTATTTCGTAAACAATTAACTCGTTTTTCAATTCATTTGCCAATACACATAATCGAGTAAGTGAATCTTACAGCAAGCGCCGGATGCACGACAATAATAACTTTCTCTTCTTGGCGGTCAATTCATAGCTATTTATTTTATTTGGCGTTGAACCTTCAAACCAATCCGCGAAGTAAATATGTCATCAACATAGCATGATATTATTCATACATGACATCCCTTCATTTTAATCGTTTGCAAACTTTCCTATTCCAGTCTTCTGATAATTCGCAATTCTTAATATTCTGATAAATTTTAGGTATTTTAAACATATGTAGATTAATAATTCAAAACCATCACTTTTTTCATTGTAGATCAAATGCAACAGCAAACTAAATTTTATTCCCATACTTGATTTTCTTTCCAATTTGAAAAAGCAATGTAGGAAAAGGTATTCCACTTTTTTTTTTCTTCAAGAAACAAAAAAAATTCATGTTTTTTTTAAAGAAACTCTCCGCATCTTTGCTAAGAAATTTTCCTGTCGATATAAGACTATAGTACGATACGATATGCATAACAAATTCATACAAAAAAAAAATAACGCTGCTATGATGTTATATAAAGAGCTAGTAACAGTGCAATAACTTATTAATATTGCTCAGGCGTTTCCTGTGCAAATAGTAACATATTCGTTTTACGCTTAGAGTATTTCAAAATATGAGCCAACAACATTTCATTCGCGGTCTATCTTTATTAACGATTTATTTTTCGGGTTTGACTTAAATAATTACCTGAGGTACAACTCAAAGAAGTTATGGCGTCATGTGGATGACGCAACCGTATATCTAAAAAAAAATATTAAAAATGATAGGGCATCGCGCTTTGAAATTGAAGTTGAAGGCGAGTATCAAATATCTTGTACTTGAAGGAGTCAAAAAGGCGCAGTTTATTATCAATTTTCCAAATTCATGTCCTTATGAATACCTCAAAAAAAAAAAAAAAAACCCAACAACTTCAATTAGAGGTTGAGAAAACACCTTCTCTTTCTTCTAATCTACAAAATTATGGTGATACACGTCAGACGTCTTGTAGTTTCGTCTCTCACGAGCGATAAACTAATCGAGCAAAAACCCATCGAGCACTGCTATAAGCTACTGAATTAAAAAGTGGTGGTTTGCTAATTAAGAAGAGCCATTTAAAAACAGCAGAAAAATTCATAAGTGCCAAACTTACTATTGATATCGTTTCTGCAACGAGTGCTTTACGCAGCAATTGCTTTACACAACAATTTTTGCTCGTATGATAAAAAATATGAACAAATAGTACATAAAATCATAGCATAAAATCAATATTAAACATTCTGGATTTACTACTACCAACAAAAATTGGCTACACCAGGTGTTCTCTTTACTGGCAAATACCTAATGCTCTTATACGCAGAAGCTGTCAGAAGCTTGGTCATATCATATAACACTACAAATGTACAGATCTTTGACCGGAACTTGTCCAATCTCTGCCATATTGCACAACAAGCGTTGCATTGTACGTGACGCGTGGAAAAGCTTTAAATCAAACCCCTCTGCACACCTCATTACACTACACATAGCAAAAAGCACCTTACAAGTTATCGACGGCAACAATTCTCCAGCACCAACACATTTCACACGACCTTATATAATCACCCCCACCCCCAAATTAGAATTCATTCTGCACCGCTTAGCAAAAACAAACTATTCCACACAACTTCGGACAACGACAAACAAACCTTGCAGCCAAGACTATAAAAGGTTTCCCGATTTAAAGATGCTCCTAGCTCCTGCAATATATAGAAGAACAGTAATTTAGTTTAGTAATCCAATTATTTCTCTTTGTCATTGTACCTTTAATTTTTATGCCTAATCTCGACGTCAAACTGCTTCAAAGGTATCTTACGTTATAAGTAAATCCTCCAAATTCTAGTTGCAAAACACAAGCCTGACGAGAGACACAGATCAATGAAAGAAATATAAAAACTTTAATTTCGGGTACTGGTATTTGTATTAAATGACCGTTCACATGTATCTTCTATTGATAATCTGTTTTTTTAATACGTAATTATTCGTTACGACAACGTCTCATGATCACCAATATCTATAGAGACCATGACTTCAGTCTCGATGAAGGTTCGATTAACAAAATAATACTCGCGAAGGTCACCATTTACGGTTTGGAGATGGGGGTAGAGTTTATTGAGTACAGGGTTCTCGAACATTGCTTACCACTCATCACATTTCCATGTGCAACTTCCGCTTGGCCCCATATCTGACATCGTGTTGTTTGAATACTCCAGATGCTAGTGACCAAAATCTTTTTTTGATTTCAAACTAAAAATGCTAATGGGTCATTACATTGATTGGTTCAATTTAACGATTTAATAGCATCATTGCTAAATTAATATCTCTGAGGTACAATGCCTGGAGGAGGGTCTCTCTCGCGTCCTCTCGAATGGGGTCAATAGTTTGAGGAAATCACGAGTATCAATATTTTCGGCCTTAATTTAATTTGGAAGGACTTGTTTTGGAGCTCATTGAATCTTGATAACGCGTTCAGTTCGACAGTTTGTTATATTCCGTCTATCTTTTCCCAGAATTATTTGAAGTTATCAACGTTTTAGAACTTCATCAAACTTTAATGACCTTCAATAAATGTATACCCAGGTACAAATCAGTACGAGCAGCTATAAATGAGTTTTCGAAGTTCATATGACAGTAATCAACCTATATCACTACAGGGTAGTTAGTTAGCGCGGTCGTATGTAATAAGCAGAAGGGCTTAAGACAGACTGGCCTTTTATTATATCGATGCAGAATCGTAATTTCAATTGATCTAAGCCTATGTGTCCCCCTAAAATTGTGATAAAGTTGTAGATGGCAATTTTTGAGATATTTCGATGAAATTTGATACAATGACATGTTTTGACCCAAGGACAAACGCTATTGAAAATGATTCGGATCGGTGCATTTTTTTGACCACCCCCGTATTACGCCTTATTATGAAAAGTCGGTATATGGAAAAAAATTGCAATTTTCAAAATTTCCCAACAAAAGTGGCTAAGTGGTAATAGGGGATTCTAAATTGGTATTAAACCTTGAAACGGCTGGGACAATTTTGAACCGCGAGCGACACTGAAGTTCACTCGACAAAACGGTAGTATTGTCAATGCTTCATGAAGAAAATTACATTATAGTAGTAATTTAACATAAAAAAATTAAGATTACAAGTTGCGTATTGATATAAGTTTTGTGTTCTATATATAATAAATATAATAAAAATAAGAATTGTGTTAGGCAATGTGGGGTAGGGCACGTAATTGTCGGCCTTGCCCGAATATAATGTTTTTACTTGTTTTATACTCGAATTATAAGAGACAAAGAAGAAATGCGTGAAAACGTAAGAAACTTGCGCGAAATTTTGCAAGACAAAACTAACCGAATGGAATTCTATTCTAAGCTGAATCTATTTTTTAACTAGGGAATAGTTTTATATTTGTTTTCTATATTTTAAAATGCGTTTAATTTGAAATATTACTTAAGAAACGTATAAAGGCTTAAAACGACGCTCTTACCAACGGACTACTCAAATTAATTGAAATATAAGAGCAGTTCGTTCCGTAATTCGTTACTACCATCGGTTCATATTTGAGCCAGAATAATAATTTGTGGAATTTGGTCACACTTTCTAATAAATGAACATCATAAACAAACCAGCTGCAAGAAACTTCTGTTGTTATTAATTATAACACTAATATTAATTAGAGGCAATTGATTATATTACTATTTCACAAAATTAGCACACACGAAATATTTTACGTTTTAAAAACTTAAAATTTCAAACACTAAAAAAATAAAATAGAATTATCGAATTCTTTTTAAATAAGAATAGTTCGTTCTCTAAGGTGTCATACAACAAACCTTTTGGCTGATGCCATGCTATGGCTGGAAGTTGTAGAGGTTGTAGCTAAAGACGATGAAGACAGTGTACGCAGGGATCTACGTCCAACTAAACTACTGTCGCGATAAGCTTGACGTACGGTGTCATTAAACTGATTGCCAACAGCATTCGAAGAAGTCGATATTGGTGTTGTGGTCGAAGAAGATATCGATGGCGACGGCAGCATTTCGACAGCGGATTCGCAAAAGCTGAGAGATGATTTGAAGTTCAAAATATAATTGATTGATTTGCAACAAAAACATGAAATTTGAGTATTTCTTAAAATATTTATGTGCATGCGACATTGAAATTTCTTTAGCAATTTAAATAAAATAAAAAAGTAAAGTAAATTTAGCAATATAAATAAAAAATTAATTAAAACCAAGCAGTATATACAAGTAGTAAAAAAAGAAACAAATAAGAACGAAATTCTTTCGAAGCAGAAAATTGGAATTGTTTTGTTTAAAATCAAAAATCTTATATACAAAATAGCATTTATAGTTAATGAATTGTGATATATTTGCCAGCTCTTTGGACAAGGATTGAGTAACAAAAACCTGTGCGTTCGATATCGACGGCAACTTTCGACAAATTCGCATGGGGATGTAATCAATTTATCCATTTCATCTACCAGAGTTAAATGAATGATTCCACCCAATAGGAATTGGAACATTGGACAGACATGTACGCGGCAATATCTCTTCCTCGAAAAAATACATTCATTCCATATAACAATTATTGGCATTTTTCACTTTGAAAAACGTGTAGTTTTTTTTTTTCATAACTCGTACATCTGTGCAAGATCACACATATGTAATACTCTGCAAAGCGAATTTTAAATCAAACAACAATCTGTTATTTGTCTTATAGTACAGATAAAGACCAGTGCATACTCATAATGTATTCCGCACATAATTTTTGACAGTTTTTTATAAAGGCGTTTGTTTTAAGAAAAAGCACAATGTTACTTTTACTTTTTGAAACGTATCGAATCTTCAACAGCAATTTTTGGTACATTTTAAAAGCGGGAATAAAAGCTCTTATTGTGGCATACGATTCGAGATCACAAACACAATAACCTAACTTAAAACTTTCATACAAAATTGCATTCAGAATTATCAGAAAGAGAGCTGTGCGTAGTTCGAATAATGGCATTAAGCGCAAGTTGATAATTTAAAAATAATTATTGTACAAGCAAGGAGATCTAGCGCAAAACATTGAAAACTTAAATGAGCTAAAGCCGAGGCATAGTACATGTGGAAATTTAATTGAAAATTTATTAAAGTTACGCTAAAATTAATATTTGCAATATGTTTTATTTGACAGACCAATTATTCAAATCTCCTTCAAGACCATTTTTTTTCATTTCAAGCGGCAGAAAAATGTGTTTACGTTAACTGAACTTTATGCGCGGATACCTAGCAATTAGAATCGCATGTAATACAAATTTTCATTAAAATAATACTTCCAATTTATTCTTAATTAATAATTTCAAATAAAATGATGTTAATGTCGGCAACTAGTCGACAAGGGATGCAAAGGGCTATCATAAGGGCTAACGTTAACGCACCTATACCTGATTTAAAGAAAAATTGATTTCAATCTTCATTCAAATCACTGGCAGTGCATGAATATAAAAACAATGCTTTATGGAGCGCAATATAACAATGAACACATTCTCTCTGTTATGGCTCCTATAGCATTATATAGCAAATTTTTATATCTGCCACCAAGAAGAACGAATACATATTTATTCTTAGCATACAAGAATACCCTCTTTGTACATCTTATCATATCTTTGATCAGCATAAGGGTCTAAAAAGTTCAGCCATACTTGTTTGTTCGTGTATGTTTATCTGCTACTAAGACGGTCACAGTTCCAAAATTCGTAATATTAACAAAATAGCATGTTGACATGTACATTCGCACACAAAAATAGCAGCGATAGATAACAATAACATGTTAGCAAAGCCATCAAGATTTGGAAATGCGTCCGAAAATGACGAAAGACTGCAATTTATATGTTAAGTACATATTCATTTGATATAGTGGTTCTTACCAAAGTTTCTAAAATTTCTAAGACTAATATAATTTTCGTCGTTTTTAATGCAGCGCTTTTTTTAAATGGGGAAATATAACCCGGGAGCAATATTTTTACAATTTTATTTTAAATCGTTTAAACTATGAAAGGAATCTCCCGTTCTCGTAACCAGACAAAGCCACACAGAGAGAGATATAAGTGGGTATATTTATATATGTTCATTGCGCATTCTAATATAGAATTTCGAAACAAGAAATATGGAAATATTTAATACTTATGGACACTAACTTTTACAAAATCGATAGATATAGTTTTCTTTTGTGCCAATTATTATTGATTACAAATCTTTTCAAAATTTAACAATTATGGGGCTGTTCGGAATTGAACGCCTTAAGATTTTTGTTTGCATGCTTATTTGTAAGTGTACAATATACATGTAGGATCTGCCTACCTCAATGCCGAAATTAATTTTTTAAGGTTCTTTCTTCTTTTAATGGAAACAATAAAATTATGCAAGTAAATTAATTAATTTTAATTAGTAGTTGTTATTTAGTTTCGTTAGAAAATATGTTTAAAAGGTTGTTTTTCGAAAAGGCAAGCGCCCATTATTGTTATGAATTTTATTTTTTGCTTTCGAGGAGAGTAGTTAACGATCTTTAATAATGATTATATCTGTAAAAAAATTTAAATATTTAAAATCATTTTGTAAAATATCAAAAATTGAATGTATATATTATATAGAAATTATCAGTCAAGGGCAAAAAAAAGAAGTAAGAAAAATTTTCGGAAACGTTAAACAATCTACAACAGTAGCAAAGCAAGAAACGAAAACGCAAAATGTTGAATAAAGATTAACATGACGATTAAAAAGCATTAGACTTGAATTAGCTGATTTTGAAAACTTCAAGAGCCCCTATGTAAATAAGTCTGCCTAACAATAAAGAGCTTATATTTCATTGGATCAGAAAAAAAAATCCTTATAATGGAATTAAGGAAATAAGGGCTTCTTTTTATTTCTGAAAATATTTGTTCAGTCATTCGAAAAATTCGCTGGATATGTAAAAGAAATTATCTGTTCAATATGTGAAACCAGAATTGCCAAAATCTGAAAAAATATTGAAATGTTGAAATATTTGACACATAACTGCCAGAAAAAAAAAAAACGGACGGTAAAATAATTTTTTGAAATAGCTTTATTAAATTCTAGAAATTTTTTTTGTTAATAAAACTGAGCCATATATATTGAAGATCACAATTTAGAAGAATTGAACATTTTCAATATTAATTAAGAGTTCCAAATTAGTAAAAAGTAACAATAAGCGTAATAAGCCAATACGCCGTTATTTGAAGTGGATATAGTACATCCTACAAAATATAATCAATAAGACAATGGCTTATTTTTTTCAAGAATTTGTTAGGCCAGTAGCTTTCTTTTTTTATTTTGTGGTCCTGTGAAGTATTGTTGTAAAGCGTAAGTTAAATGCGGTTACTTACTTTAAAATTTCTGAATATTTTCCAACTTTTGTTACAAGCAGCTATTTCTGTACTGCTGTAACTTCAGCCTAATTACACAGTTTTTTGGTTTAGCTTCAGCCTAATACATGCAGTTATATAATCATAGAAATCCTAACCTACATTATCAATCACACGTCGTGTACATAAAAAGTTGATTTTTTTTAATCCGGTAATTGTGGGAAATCTCTTCATCCGGTTTAGTATATTTTCGGACATCACGTAGTAATTTCATAAAAAAAAAATAGTTTTAATTCTAATTTAATGCAATTCGAGAGAAAGACGAAGATTATCATTCATTGAGTCTCGAGGTTTTCTCTCCACCATGTTTATGACGAGTTTTTTATTTCATCCGATGCACGCTAAAGGCACTCTCAAATGTAAGCGCATGCGTAAGCAGTATTGATAAATCGCAAATCATTCCTAACATATCTAAGCAATGTAAATAATCCAAAGTTACCAGACTAATAACTGGCAGTAAGTCACAATTGGAATGTGGTACAAAAAAAGATCAAACGGCAAATATACAAGCAACCGGTAGCCGTTGCTTTATGCACTACATTCATTGTAAGAATACATTGGTTCTTAGGTGAACTCTACATAGTGTATATATTAAATAATCAAAACTTTTTCGTGAAGTATGAGAAGAGAAATTTATTCTAAAAGAGTTAGCATGTGGATATCCTGTTTCCACCTAAATTATTCAATATATATATTTTATGTCTTGCTGACATTTTTTTAAGAAACTTGATGTATTTAAGCAGCAAGGATCGGCAATACTTAATCCCAGCATTTGTTAGACACATCAGTTAATTTATCGGCTAACACGCGGCTGTGGCGACCAATGGTTTCTAGTTATTCAAAGTAATTTGCATTAAGGATAACTTCAAATACAAACGAAACGAAAAATTAACAAAAGCTGATCACTTCGCTAATAACGTAGTTGAACGGTAAACCTGACAGACCTACTATTCCCAAAGAAATTTTTCAACGATAATTACTTACATAAAATGCGCTAAAACTAGCGGTATCTCAGCGCAAGAGGCACAATTTTTATTTCATGACTTGGCAATTTGCAGCTGATTTGTCTCAAAAACTAATGCAATAGTGGAACACAAAAAAAAAATGTTTTTATTGTTTCGTGCCACTTTCATATGAATGACTAAAGCGCGCAATCAAATTTTTCGAGTTTCGACGTTTTCGAACCATCTTGGAATGTCATTTACATCAAACCCCTTCGACAGGTAGAAATGAAGGCAAATGCTTGCTTCGTTATCTATATAGAAAATCTCTTAAATAGATATTTTATGACAATAAAAAGTGAAGACCGAAACTGAAAGTGCCTTGAATCGGTCCATCGTGACAGACAACCCGCGTAAAAACGAACTCCGTTATTGTACATACAAAGTCGGTGGCTAATTATAAATGCAAATTAAGTTTTATATGTAAACAAATTTTTGGTTTTTCTTTAGAAAACTTTTTAGACATCGAGACCATGAGTTTAAAGTATATCTCTACATCGGTGTAGTTAGCAATATTATAGTTTCTTCTGCTAATTTTTTTTTTATCATTTTCGTTCCTTGAAACATTTGCTAACAAATTTCCTATGGGTGGCATAATAATGGTGCATGATAATTAGGAAATAAGCTAGCTTACCTATTCTGCGGTTGAATTTGCGGTGCTGGTAGCGCTGGCAACTGCCTGCGACTGTTATGGGTAGCGGATAATTTCTGACGACCTAACGACTGCTGCTCCATTTCCCCATTCTCATCATCATCTAAAGATTCAATGGTTAAAGTTTGCTGTGGTGCAGCCTCGATGCTAGCGTAGCCAGTATTCCGTACGCTGCTAACCCCACGGGCTTTAGTTGTAAATTCTCGATCAAAATCTTCTGCCTGTTCTTCCTCAAGGTTTATAAATTCTTGACGTTCTTCTAGCTGACCGGATCGTAAGTCCTGCTCTTTCTCAATAATATGCGCCCGTTCTCCGATATGATGACCAATTGCCATTTTTTTTACACCATTCATGGAATCCTGAACCGTGCGGCGTGTCTCTCGTATGCCGCCAGGACCAGTCTTGGTACTGCTCGTTGCCTGATAAATTTGTGGACGGCCATCCGGCCCAGAGGACATAGTTATAACAGAACTTGAGCAATAAGAGGCTCCATTTGAACCGATGTCTGTTAAACAAAACGGAGCGCATCTTAATATAAATATAAACAACAATCAGCAATGCTTTTTATAAACTGTACAACTTGCCACTCGGAGATGTGTTTCTTATATCACATACTTACCAGCGCTCAACAAGCGATTCATGTTGGGCATGCCAGGAAAACCAAATAAGCCACCTACATTGGGGTTATTCTGCCTCTCCATTAGAGCATTTTGCTGGAAACTTGAGTCAAAAGGTGTCAGCATATTAAATGGATCAGGCATTAAGGAATTCATTAGTCGATTCATTGAACGCATTTGCATATTCATCGCATTCATATGATTTCTGTTAAAGTAAAATAAACATTTGGCAAAAATTTAATATGAAGAATCGCTAACCCTATTTCTTAAGATGCATCGCAAGAGATTAGAGATAGTTTGGCATTTCAATCTGTCCGAAATTCTCTTATTGTTCAAAGCTATTAATAATTGTATATATTTCAATTCAAAATTGAATTGATGTAAAAATCGTATATTCACTTTGCATTTGTTCTGAGTTATGGACGACATCAACAAAGTACCCGAATTAACAACAAAAAAATATACATTTAAATGTACATTTATATAAAATATATATGTGCATACCCTTGTTGAAAATTCGAAATTAGGGAAAAATTTATTAAAAAAATACTATTGATTATCTTACGCCTTTACTGTAACGATAGCAAAAGATATTAAAAACCTCTAAATTGAAATAGAGGGATTAAACATCACGTAACAAACATAATTATCGAAATTAAGTATATTTATTGGACTTTACGAGATACCACAGAAACAGCTATCTAGTATACTACAATCTTCAAATTTTATTAAAGCTTTTACTACAGAATAGCGTTTAATTAACTCACGCCTTTAGTTTTTTTTTTTGCTTACCCAAATATGTCATCGTCAAAATCTCCCAAAAATAGCGACATTTCTATTTCTTCTTTCTATTTTATTTATATGGATAAATTGTAATGATTTTGCTCGATCTAGACTTGCGTTTTCCGCTCCACGAAACAATTTTATGTCGGATACCTATCTAGTTTTTTCTATAAAAAATTAATGCCCAGAAATTTCTAAAAGTTAATACTTATAAGAGAAAACAGCGCAGCTATACTATTAAACGACAATAAAGTTAGCTCCGAATGTAAAAGAATGAAACGCTTCTCAATTGCATTTATTTGGGAAGTTAATGTGACAACAGAGCTGCCAAATTTTTAATATTTTCATTAAATTGAATTCTGCTAAGCTCTAATTTATGGATATAATTACAAGCTATATGAGAATTAAATGTATTTAATTATTTAAATTTTTCAACGTTCAAGTCGTGTGTGCCAGAAGACCATAACTCTAGACTGAAAACTCTAGACTCACCCTTTTGAAACATAAGAAATAAAAAAGTATAAAATTTCATATGCGGCAATGACTTGTTGCCTTAGCAAGAGACAAAGTCTGACACAAAGTCCTGCACCCCTCAAAAAAATAAAAACACCGTTGGCCGAAGTATTCGGGATAGAAGAGGAGCCGAGACCCCAAACAAGGGAGTTATATTAAAATAAATTATTTAGGCAGAGCTGTCAAGCTCACCAATTTTTTAATAAAGAAATTTTTCATCAAATTGAATACGTGACAATTGTCAATAAGTGGCGTGAGTGAGGAGTAAACACAATACATTTGCACTAACCGACCGACATATAGCTTGCATTGCGTTACTGGTGACAGAAAAACTGTGTGGAGCTGGAAAAATATTGAGTACTTCGTATAATATTTACATAAAGGAGCTAAAAGATTGCAACTTTAAAACCAAAATTGTGTTTTGTTTTGGAAAATCTCGTATATCTATGGACGATGTAAGGCAGATCTTTAACGCAGTAGCACGTAAACTGCTGAAAACAATGACTACGATATGCGTTGTGCATCGATCACTAATTATCACAATAACATTGATCACGAGTAATTGAGCTTACGTTGCGTTGCGCGAGATTTGGCTAACTTTTAAAATTTGTGCGTGCGTTGTTTTTGTTGGCCAAAACACAACACATACTGCCGTGTTTATAAAAACACAATATTATACGGTTTCATAAGGTGTGAAAACAAACAGATGGGACAAAAAAATTAAATAACATTAAAATTTGAACTAGATTAAATAAATCGCAAAAAACAAATGATACTATAAAGATACATTATATCTTTATTTCCACATAAATAAATACTACATTTTGTTGCCATATTGCATATGAATTTATATTTTGTTGCTGTATCATTAGTGAATACTATTGTTTTCCATGCAGCAGGATGAAACACGTGCCATAGAAACATAAACAAAATAAAGATGTTGCGGAAAGAATTTTTCTGAGCTTTTGTTCATTTTTATCGAAAAGTTTGTTTATTTTGTTCAGTATCATTAAATCGGGTGATGCCTTCAATCATTTTTCAAAATATCTCAAGACGAAAGACACTGCTGCTGGCGTTATTTCCCGACAATCTATTACCTTGCCCAGCGACCCATCATGCATATTCACAAAATTACACGACAACGGCGGCTTTTAACGCCGCTGCAGCGTTCTCGGAAGGTGAACGAGACGCCAGAGCACCGAAAACTTTGTCCTTCTTCACCGGGAAGATCTTTCATTCAAAGTTTCCTTATCTTGTTCTAATAGAATCCAAATGTTAGATCTCAGTAGGACTGTTGCGTCACTCACAAAATGGAACGGAAACTCGACAATTAATACCTGTGGTGACTTTAGTTTCCGATAGCTTTAGTCGATTTTGGACTAAGTGTCTCTCAAACTCCGAATAGTGCATAATGCTACCGCCATTTTCTATGACTCTAATCTCTAAACGCTCTAATCTCATTTGCAATAAGAGTTCGCATCGTACATTGTTAGCAGGGTTATTGAGTACGTGCTTAAAAGAACGAATTTATTATGAAATGTTGGTCATGTTGGAGCTTAGCAACAGTAGCATTGTAATTATAACATTGTGAACAAGAATTAGGAGGATGCACAATGTTAATGCGTTTCCTGTATAGAGTACCTACGCAGCGTGAAAGATTCCAAATATTTTCGAAATCACGCTCAATGCGTCTCCAGTCTGACTTTTTTGGCAAAGGCAAATAAAATGGAGAAAGGTAAATGTTTTTTTGTGGATATAGGTTGTTTATAAAAAACCAAGGAAGGTATTGGTAGCTAGAAGGAGAGAAATTCTAATGTAACATTTGCCAAATGCGAAAATATTCTATGACAAGTATGGAAAAATTTTTTATCTTTGCGGAAATAATTGACCTTTATTTAACTTATTTATTATATATACTATTATTAATTTAGCTGCTTACAAATACATGACATATTTTTGTAATTTTCTACCTCCCACATGATTTACATTACCTATTTATTTCACAAGCCTGCTTTCCTAGAATGTATTCCATTTTTTTGTTCCATATTTTTTTAGTTTAATTTTACTTTTGTTTTTATATTTATTTCTCTGACTAAATTAGTTTTAATAGCTATTAAATAATACAAAGTGCTAGCAAGGATGACGATCCGTTTTTTCTTTATTTTTTTTTTTTTAAGGTAGACTAAATGGGTTTAATAAGGTCGAATATTTTACTGACATAACGTTCTCCAGGCTCTTTGAAAATTTTCATAGAGTTAAGCGCTCCAAAAACTACTCTTCGAATTTACACTCAAAAAACATGCGTTTAATTGTAACATTTCGTTCACATTTGAGAATTGAGAAAAATTAAATTGCGTAAGGATCAATTAATTGTTTGCATTGGTATGGTCGAGGCCAACTATTTTAATCCTGCTTTTCTTAAAACTGATTGGGAAGAGAAACGGAAAGAAATTAGGATTAACGTGCGAGTGGTATGTCGATATTTTCTCCAATTTTCTGGTTAGGTTTTTTTTCTAATATATTTGCGAAGAGTAAACTTTTCCATTGGACCGCCCATAATTAGAAAGAGTGAAACCTTAGATTTAGCTAGATCTGCTCGTTCGTTTCCCGAGAGAGAACGATATGACTCGTTAGCTGAGAAATTCAAATTTCATTTTCATTTCTTTTAAAAACCATACTCACTACCGAAGGATAAGGATACACTCATTTTCTCACAATAGCTGCAACAACCTAAACGAAGCTTGAGAACCTTTAAATTATATACATTTTAGATCAGCGTGAAACTCTGAATCGGTTAAAACATGTCTGCCGTCTGCGTATCTTCGTGTGGTTTGTGTTATTGATACTCTTCTGGTCGCAAAAATGAAGATATCGACTTAAAACTTTGTAGGAGCATTGAAAGCTGATTAGCATTGAGAATAGACTAAATTGGTCAGAGCACACTCGCTCAAAAAAAACGTAACGAGAACGCAACTCTGTTTCTCTATACAAAAATTGTGGATATATGCAAATTATTCACAAATTATGTAAGATAGAAGGCTTAATTTTTCTGTATCTACTTTACGGAAAACTGCAGTGTCTATGTGAAAAAATTAGAAAAATTGGCAATGCGCACACAAAGTGATAAGTGGTTAAATTTTCTTTTTTCACTTCTACGAGATTTTATTGTTATTGATCAAAATGCGTAAATTCTACGATAAATATGATGAACACGACGGCGAGGCAAATAGTTTTTTCTCAAAAGTTCCATCGATACCATCATTATTATTATCATCTCATATAAAAAGACTTGGAGAGTAGAAGGCGAAAAGGCAACGTGTGAATTCTAAATTAATTATGGTGGACGTTTCGACGTAACGGATTAATTTTTTCTTAAGGATACCTTTTAGTAAAGTAAAAGCTGAAAGATAATTTTTACCACAATCACTTTTCTAGGACAATAAATAATAGTGTGTGGCCTTGGGTATATGAAACTCGGCTGCAGCCAAATATAACTTTCTTACTAGTTTGAAACTTCATATTGTCTCCGTAAATTGAAATGCTATGCGTTACTGTCTTAAAGGTATGCAAGTTGGAATTTTATATAATGGAATAATTAGGAGTAAATAAATAAATATACATTTAGAAAATAGGGAATTTAAAATTTTATAATCAGATGCTTACGGATTTGACAAAAAATTGAAAAAAAATTTCTAAATCCCAATCCCAAAACGAGGTATTGAAACCCATTATGTGCTTACTTTACTATTTCCAAGAATCTCCCTCTTAAAATGGTAAGTCATGTAGAGAAAAGTTTTATTGCATATTGGAGGTAATTTTTATTCTTCCCGAAAATTAAATCAGCGGGGTAATTATGTAAGTAGGCGACCGTCGTGCCAGGAAAACTCCGTGCTCACTTAATTTAGAAAAGCAGAGCAAATATATATATAGCAGAGCAAGAATATATTTTATAGAATATATATTGATCATAATTCATGTAAGTGAGCGGTTTGTAGTATATATTTTGATCATAATTCATGCAAGTTAACGGTTTGTAGAATATATTTTGATCATAATGACTTTTGCAAGAATCTACATGGAACAATATGTATATGTTAATTTACATTGTTGACAAGTATGTAATATCATCTTCTCATACATTTTCGGGTAACATAATCGTCCCGCAACGTCCTTCTATGTCTCAGAAGGTTCCTTTTTCGTCAAACTCGATGCGCCGCTATTGCCAAATAACACAACATAAACAAAGGGACTATTCCGCATGATGTATATGTTTTCCGCAACATTCCTTGATTATTTAATAAAAATATTTCACTTACTTCTTTTTGGTGTATTTAAAAGAAGGACATTTAAAGTCTGGGATATTTATGGTCTGGGACTCTTGCAGCAAGACAACTTTTTCTATTATCCTGAGAGTGTCAGAGTGGAATACTATCGTTAAGCAGACGTCATTCATTTTAGAAACATTACGAATTAGGATGTACAGAACTTTGAGCTGGGGGGAAATTAGAGGGAGTGGTTGCATTTGCTTGTGCAGCTTGCGCAGCTTGTCTAGCATGGAGACCATCTGATATACCCGGACAGCTAGGGTGGGAAGAGGCGGATTTATTATTGTTATTTTTGTTAATATTTTTTGGAGACGAAGACAGATTATCCTGAATGGCACTACTAGGAGGGAATACCCTTGCCACCTCAGCATAGCTG